CGGCAAACCCTTTCACAAATATGTGCCATATTTCATGCCCATTAAATCAATAACTAATTTTAATAGTAAGCAGTAAGCTTATTTAGTAACCAGCCATTCATTACATGGACTCTAATAGGTTTATAATTATGGTCCGCCCCCTTGGCTTCCTAGTCTCGCTGCTTCCCTGTTATTACAATTTAATTAAAATACCATAAAAAGGCAGCAGCTGGCCGAGATAGCGAACTAACAAAGTGAAAAGTGAGACGAGATTCTGATGGAGTCCTGGTAAATAGCCGGGCTTAGTATATCTCTGGTGGGCAACTATCCAAGAGTGGGATGCCGTACCGTGATTACGGCGTAAGCTCACAGTCATTTAACTTTGACATCGCTGCGCTTCATTTAGCACACACTATGGCACTCAGGTTGGGTATTGACTATCCTTATAGAGTTGCAGTTTTATGTTTCAATACTTACAGATGTTTGTAATGTGATTTGTATAGATATCTTCTTAGCTTTGGAAAGGGAGTGAACTATAAACTTTTGGCTCTTAATAAAGTTACCTTTCTAACTCGCATTCGCTGATCCGTTCGTTTGGTATTTGCTGTTTAATCATCTTATATATTTTCAATAAATATTTCTCATTTAATCAAGTACGAGAGCCATTAAAGGCTTTTAAGCTTTCCCTTTCAAAATATAATTTTATGCAGCCGCCACAAATTATGATACTAAGGGACTAAGGACCAAGGGGTATTCACTTGGCACTCTCGTTCTATTATATGCATATCCTTCAGTCTCCTGTGCGTTGGCCATGCAGGGTAATGAGAACTCGAAGCCATTTAATTAATGCCGAGCATTAAGTGCGATTATGTGGAATAAATGAGCAGAAGAACCGGTAAAAGCGATTACCCTGCAGGATGGGGCAATTGCTGAAACAACTCACTTAATGGTCAATTGACTAAAAGCAGCTTTACAAGTGTTAAATCGAACGAGAATCGATGCACCTTGCCATGGGTTTATCAGCACTCAGTTTAAGCACTCAGTTTAAGGACTCCCTAAAACTTTGCCGAACTTTAAAACGGCCCGAAAAGATCTTTATTTGAGTGGAAGTTTGCCTGAAGTTTGGTAAATCAAATCAATTTTAGCTACTCACGCATAATGCGAACAGCGGGGCCACCAAACAAACAAACAAACAACAAAGACAAACAAAGAACGGCTAACAAGCAACATGTGGGATTTGAAAAATGTTTGCCATTCGCGGTAAATTATTCAGAAATTCCGCTTTCTTAGAGGCCTTTCTGCAAATGATAAGAGATAAGCAGAAGCGTTGGAGTGTTCTTAGGGTAAAAGGGCCAAGCAAAAAGAATATAAAGTAAACACAAGCAGCCAGCGAAAAACTCAACAACTCCAGATTGCAAATAATAAAGGGAAAACAGAAAGGAAAAGCTTACGGGAAAATACTGCCAGTCATGCCGACATCCTCTGTTGCAGGTAATTGAAGAAGAATGAAAGCAGCCGGGATACAAGGAGAAAAAAACAAGAACGTTATGGAGGAGGACAGCCAGCGAAATATGCTTTATTGATTGGATAAATATTTAATGCACTTTCGCGTTTCGTTGGGGAAACACTTTCCCGGCCGAGGGGTTTGGGAAATTTGCGTGTGAAACGGCTTATTACGGTCACGTTCCACCTATAAAAGTAGCCAGCGGAGGGACATTGAAAGTTTTACCCACAATTCACAGGACTTCGTATCCTGTCCACCTGCCTCAGACCCTTGAAAGTCACAGGACACTGGCAATAGTAATTCCTAGGAAACAACAATAAGACAATTCCTGGCAAATGGCTTGGAGTTTATGGAAGCCCCTACTGAGAAATAACGCAGAAGACCCTCAATTTCTCCCGAATGAAACCAACTTTTGCGCTATGCGAATTAGCTGCAAAAGTTCGAGGGCAAATGTGTATGAAAATACACCTGGAAATTGTTGTATAATTTGTACACTGAAAGAGAAGAGGGCAATGGTAATGGGACATGTACTTCAATCAACAATTTATGGATAACTTCTCTTAATAATCATAGATTTTTATAAGTTTTATTTCATTCTTAGTAAACCCTTTTACATTTCGTGTATTTGTAAGTTTCGAAAGTTGCTAAGTAACATCCAGTTACGTTTTCCTGTGGAGTATAATAGTTTATAAACTTTTTACCCGGGAGACCATCAAAGAGCACAGTTTCCCTCAAGCGATATGATGTGTTAAACCAACTACTGCTCTAATTTAACAACTTACAAGTAGTTTAACAGCGATCTGGATGCCACCTCTTTGCCTTGTCAGCCAGGTAACTACCTGAATGAAATTACAAAATGGGAAGGGGTTGATATTTGCTGAAGGGCTGTGATGACGTTTAACATCATTAACTGTGTCCTTTCATGTTTTGGTGGTCGTGGTCAAGGCAAAACAAACAGTCCAAGAGCAGCCAGGCTTTCAGGGCCAAAAGAGCTGGACAAAAACCCCGGCATGTGTTTGTGGAGTTTCCGGACATTGGCGGGTTGGGTTTATCGAGTGGCAAGGGGTTATTTACCCTCCCTGCCGTTTCAGCCACATTATTTGTCTGTTTGTTGACCGTAGTGCTCTCTTTCTGTCGGCACAAACTGTAAAAACTGTGTAAAAATCACGTTCATCACATAAACACACACACAGTTCCAGCCCCAAAATTACGCATGAAAAACGAACCGCAGCCGTAGGACTGGCATAATTAATTACCCCTTGGCCGCAAACATTTTACAGCCACTGTCTGGCCATCGAAAGCCCCATGAATTTCTCAGGGTCCTCGCACATTGGTTGACCAAAAATAGCCAGGATGGGACAGGACAGGATGGGGTATGAATGGCCATGTCTATCTGGCATTCCAAAATCGCCAAAGGGGTCAAGTGTCAAGTTTTAACTGTCCGCTTGTGGATTCAATTTACTGGTAGTTATTGGCATACTTCATGCCAACCGAATGTGGCTCAGGGCTGAAAATGATTGCCATAATTGCATTTCACTGGAAAGTAAAAACGATTCAGATAAATTCCCGTCGGTGGAGGGTTTATCTGCAAATGACACTTTTGAAATTTATGATTACACGAAGTAACAGATAAAGCGGTCAATTTGTGCTATCTCTAATTTGGCTAGACAGCTGGAAAGCTGATTAGATTGTCAAACAAATTGGTGGAAAATCAAATTAAATCTCTGATTATTTTAGCCATTTAGCTTTCTGTTTAAGCCTCGTTTAAATCCAATCCAAAACACCAATAAGTGAATTTTGAAACACATCTTCCTAACATATGTCCAATTAGAGGCACATGAGTCAGAGCTGGAAGACAACTTGAAGATTGCACAATCCAATGGCAGTCGACAAGCTCCTCAATTAAGTCTCCACATTGAATTGAACATTAATTGGGCGATCAGCTGGCCAAGGGGGTCATAAATCGAGGCTCTGAATGGAGAGTGACCCTTGGGCATGCCCATTACCCGAATCGTCCAGGTGAACAGCATTCAATTAAGAGTCCAAGTGCGAACTTGTAGATTTCCCATCGCTCGTGTGCAATTGTCATAATTAAGAGTGATGAATGAGTCGGCAAATAAGGCTAGTTTTCAGTTGGAAACTCTGGTGAGGAAGCGAACATGGATTGTCTTTGGCTACCATTGGTTCTGGGACTGCAGATGGCGTGTCTGGCATATTTGTTAATAGTTTTCAATTGCATGTTCTTAGTCAAACAGCATTCCTTAGGCCAGTGGAAACGGAAGTTCTCAAGTCAGTCAAGTTCCTCAACTCAAGGCAGACTCTAGATTCCTGACTCTGCTGATGAATTGCACAAATTAAAGCTGAAAGATATTTTAAATGAAAATGTTAAAAATGTGGTTCAGGCTCGTTGGTCTTCCTGCGCGCTTCTTTGGCTTTTGTTTGTCGTTGTCTTTCCGTTTTCCTGGCATCTGTAATGGTTTTCTTACGCTTTTTTTGTTCTTGGCCAAGATACGGAACAGATTATATGGATAATTTCAATTTGTCTGGCTTTGGAAGCGCAGCGAGCAGCGAGTGGAACCGCTTCTTCGGAATTCATTAGAGTTCCAAGCATTGCAGATGCACTTGAACCCGCTTAAGCTGGCACTGAGCAGTTTAATTAGCAGTAGGGTAATTACTTAATTGTTATCCTAAATCAAAACCATAATTGCCTTTCCTGCGAAAGCCTTTTAAAATATTTGATTTTGCCCATTCCGTTCCTCTGGCATTATTTTCTTCGCACCTCAGCAAAACCATTATGGCATAAAATATAAATTACATCATCCTAAAACTACGCCCGGCTAATCAGGTTATCAGACAAGGCCAAAGCTCATAAATTTCAGCCTTACGTCAGCCCCCTGAAAGTGCAGAGAAACTAATAAAAGGATTCCCGACTCTTATCTGTGGGCGAAACCAAAACCACAGGTTGCAGAATTTTACGGTCAGTTTAGCATTTCAGTTTGAGCGTGTCAATGGGCCACGGAGCTAATATATATACTCGGATATATATATAATATATTCAAATCAAAATGCGTTTATAAAACAGTAATTATAATTGCTTAAAGGAGTGCGAATAGTGGGTGCGGGTGCTGGTGAATAAATATCCCGAATTTAATTTTAATTCGAGCTTAATGTAATTCATTTTATGCATAATGACATTTTGTGTTCTCTGTTCTGCTCCCTGCTTGGCATTGTAATGGAATTTACATTGTGGCGTCTGTCGCATCTGTGCCCATGGGGCGTATGCGTAATTTCTGTTTTAACCAACCCCCCGAAAGTTGAATAAAGGATTGTTGAAAACATTACATATGAGTAATTTGGACACTGTACCATTAAGTACACTCAAACAAAAAACACTTAAAACGGCTTTAGTTTAAGTAAATATGTGCGGGAAATTCATCTGCCATTTCCTTGCTGTTTTTCCTTTCGCTCGAGGGGCAAATATTGACTATTAATAAAACACACACTTGCATCTTTGCAGGCAGCACGTTCTCCAGTCCGGTCCAGTGCACATCCATCGAGCAGCACCAGCCGGGTTTTGCATGCTGCCCGGGCAGATAGCCCCGGCGTGAGCACACACACACATCGGGCAGGGTGAAAGATATAGCTATATAGCCACAGTTCCGGACACATCGTGTATATCTCAGCCAAATGTATGCCGGCCGGGCGACACAATTTGCCAAAACCATCAGCAGCATGGCGTGCAGCATTCAGAAGCAACCTCAGGCGCCACAAGCCGTGGATCCTGGCAATGCCGGATTGGATCGAGTAGGAGGAGGTGGTGGTGGCCCCAGTGGTGCTGGCACCGTTCCATCCACACCGAAAACCACCAAGACAGCCCAGCCGAGGGGCTCGCTGCCAACGGATGTTAACCAGCCACCGTTGGAATTTCAATGGCCACCACCCGTTCCTGTTTCGATACACACCAGCAACTTGCGCCTGAACATGATGAATCAGGATCCCAAGGACCTGCACACAGCCAGGGCAATCATCGAGGAACTGCGCTCTAAGGTGCGATTCCAGACGGAGCACATTATGAAGTGGAGGAAGGCATATGCCATGCAGGTTAGTAATAGTTATAATTAAAAAATTAACCCAAAAGATGTACTTTGTAACACAAACCTCTTCTATCTATAACCAGGTCCAGCAGCACTATCGCTATCAGAAGGAGAAATCAGACCAGATGAACTCTCTCACCTCACAGCTCCTGCTGTTGGAATCCCGTCTGAAGCGAAAACAGAAGCAGATTGCCAGCCTGTTAAACCACCGGGAGTTGACCATCCAGCGACAGCAGAAGATCATCGATACCTTATCCTCTCGCCTCGTGGATCATGGCCTGGAGACCATTGAAGCTAGCTATGCCAACGAACTGGACTCACTGAACGATTCCGATTCAGCTGTGGTATTAGAGGACATCGACTCGGACAGCCCGATGACTTTGGGAACGCGGCGGAAGAGCAGTGGAGCTGGAGGATTAGGTGGTGTGCTGGGCAGCGATGGGATCACCATTGTCCGCTCCATATCTGATGCAATCGAAACGAATCACAACAAATACGGAGCAGCCAGGCGGAACAACTGCTTTCTACGACGTCCAGACATCCTGGAAACTGTCTACTCCGTCGAAGAGGATCCTGAACCCACTACAGATGTGGCCGAGAAGCGGGACAAGTTCAAGAATCGATCGGACAAGGCCCTAAGCTCCAGCTCAACCGAGGGTCAGATAGATGCCGCCAGTCCCTCGGCCTCCGACAAAGCCAAAGAGTCATCGCCAGTAGACGGCGGACCCACCATTCCAAGACGACAACTGGGTGCCCTCAAAAGATCGCCCAGTCATGATTCACCATGCACCACACTCAGTGTCAAAGTACCCCAGCTCCAGCCACCATCTCCTCCTCCACCATCGGCTACAGGACAGCAGGAACCCCTTAATGGAAAGAACCAGGTGCGTAATAAAATATATATTCAAATATTTAGTTTTTAAAATAATTATTTTTAATGCTTTGAACTTTCCAATCATTTTCCAGGTAACCAACTACAATCGGGTTATGCTTAACCATCGGTCAGTGACGAAGCCCAAGGACGTGAAGTACAAGCGCATCAACAAGGCGAAGTCAAAGAGTCTGGAGGAGTTGCGGGGGCGTCTCAAGAACCTAGTGGAGCGACCGCCTGGACTAGATGGTGGCTACTCCAGTGGCATGATGCCGCAGACGGCGCAGTCGTATGCGTGACATTCGCAGCAGCCCGACGGAGCAGATTCCCAGAGGTCAACGATGGAGGGGAAGAAAGGTCAACCGGAGGCGGCGATGGAAGCTTCAACTGCGTCCTTGGCAAGTCAAGGAGGAGCTCGTCCGCGAAGGGAGAGCGCGGAGCCAATGACCTCGTCCTCCATCTCTGCCGTCCAAGAGCCGCAGGCTGGCAGACATGGTTTTCCCAAGAGGTCGCTGACCTTGCCGCGCATCCTGGTGCCCCGCCAATCGACGGCGGGTTTGGCCAGCTCCAGCGGTGGTGGCGGGAGCGGGCGTGGCGGCTTCTAGCAATTAAAGAAATTTTTCATACGCAATTGTGATAAAAAGTAAAAGAAACATTTTCTTCCTCTCCTTTTCAGTTGCTTTAACATGATTCTCTTTTGTAACATTTGTTTCCTTGACATTTATCCTGAGCTTAGTTTGGTGAACTTTGCATTTACTTAAGTTTAGTTTTAGTTTTACAAAACGGAACTGCATTTTGACTTAACATTAAACATGATTTCTCAAATAAATAAATCATTTTTTAAACTTATTTCTGTCTATGATTTTTTCTCAATAACAACTTAAAAACAAAAAGCGTATGAAAAATTTCGTCACCTCAAAACAGTAAGTTTAAATAATTTATATATGAACGGAAAGTGTACTCGAGGACAATATTTCCAAATCCCAGAAGTTGAATGGTGAGTAGCTCCAGTCAGTCCCAGAAGTGTGGGTGAAAATAGGCTAGAAAGGATATTATAAAAATTTACTAATATTATTACTAAATAACAGTTAAGATTAAATACATATGTCTAAGCAAAATGTTAATTGTTAGTATTGTATTTTCCGCAACATTTAAGAGCTTCTCTGAACTATTCCATAATTAATAAACATTTAAGAAATTCCTCAAAAAACTAAACAAACCAAATCCATTAAGAACATATTTCGCTATTGATATTCAATCTAGCTTGTAAGCTCTACTCCATGGACTGTCTTCTAGATAACAGAATTTACAATTGATCATAAATATAAATGAGTATATTTTCTTACTAACTATTACTAGCTATTTTTAAAATATTTAATAACTTTAATTAGCCTAAGAGATGAAGAAAACATTTTATTTTTGCATTTTACGGAGATTATTTTGTAACTTGTTATCGACTATTCGGGGCCTTGATGACCCCGAAGTCCTAAATGTCAAATGTACCTTGAGAACTCGTAAAAATATCGTAAAGATTAAAACCGAAAACCGGCATTAACCTAAGAATTAGAATGTACTTTGGTGTAAACTTTGACAATGGCTGCTATCAGGTCTCAATTATGAAGAATACAAATATTTAAAAGCCAACTCAGTACAATGCTTGGACAGCTGCAACATAACAAAGCTATATAATCGGAGTAATATATATATATCAACTTATATCAATATGCAACTCGGTGTTTCAGTGAATGTCCTACAGCAATTTCATGTACCTACACAGTGTGTTAATTCAAGAAGCAGATTAAAATTGTTGAAAACATTTCCAGAATTTGTACTATAAGAATATGCATATGTAATGTCAATAAAAGGTAAATAATCAGATATAAGTAATTGGTAAAAGAAACCTTAAATTCATGTGTCAATTTGGACGTTAATTTAATTACTTTAAGCCGTTTGTTGCGAATGCATTAACCGTGTGTTGGCCAACAATCGTGGGTAAAGCGTGTTATTCTGAAAATAAATATAGTAAAATATATGATTAAGTACTTTTTGCAGAAATTATAAAGTATAAAGAAATAAGACATAAGACCTTTCCTTCAAATGCCAAAACCTATTTGCCTTTACTTGATTTACCGTTAAATGTTTTTTTCCTTTTCTTTTACTTTTCAGAAATTCTGACTCAAACTTTACTTTACACAGGCCATATTTACACGATTTTATTACTTTACACTCGATTTACTTTTATAGCCGTAAGTGATATCTTAATCATTCATGTCGATTCTGCAGACCTATTTCGTTTACGTTATAAGCCAATTGACAAATGCTGAATATGAATATATTATATATATAGTCTCAATCAATATACCGATTCTGTGCAAAACAGAAGTGCAGTAGGAAGAAAAATAAGCTAAGTATATGCTAAGATGTGTAATTTACAAATCTAATTGTTAAAGTTATTTGTGTGCATGCAAATTATAACTGTCAGTCGGCAAGGCGGCATCTTTTTTTCCTAGCTAGCTTAATTAGGTAATCGTACACGAACGAACGAACATTAATGGCCATTAATTTGCTCACTCTACGAAATTCAAATAAACAATACTTGAGATATTTTCTACTTGCGCTTAATAAAACAAACTAAACCTAAACCGGCGACGATTGTTTGGGCAGGGGTCTTTGCTCTGGGTGAGATCAGTCTTCATCGAGCAGCGATCACGGAAGCATGGCGAGATCAGAGCGCAGTCCGAGTCTTCTTATCGGCATCACTTGTTGGTCCCTAGCTCTGTGCCTTATCTGTCTGGTAAGTGATTAGGTTCAAGTTGATAAGATGGAGGAAACTTATTGATTATCTATTGTTAGGCTCTAGCTGATTCTGCCCAACTCTCAGAAAGCAACCAGAACACCTTGACTGGGAATACAATTCAAGCGGTGGAGAGACTCTACAATCAGGTCCTCTACTCCACCGTAGAGGATGCCCGCCAAAGACTTCCCCACCTTCCAGCCAACGAAACTATCGATCGGCAATACTTTGAGGAACTAGACTTGATTGCCGGAAATGAAGACTACTATAGCACTGCGTACTACATCTTCGCCTGGATCAACAGCGACCTGATGTACCACAAAACCCCTGACAAACTGCTTGTCGAAGTTCTGCCAGGCGAAAAGACTTCCATCAGAAACTTTTTTAGCAAAGTTAAGCCACATCTTAGCAAATATCTGCGGCAGAGTCGACAGGATAGGTCACAGTTGGTTGCCAATATCACACGATGGGCCACCGATAACGAGGACAGTCTAATAATGACCTTTTTGGAATTTCCGCAAAACCTTAAGGGCCAACTTCCAGAGCTCCATCTAATGGACTACTCCAAACTGGCTCAGGCCTTAATAGAGGGAGTGGCCAGGGGTATTTGGACGAATTTATAGTGAAAAGACTAATATTAAAATACAAATACAATATTTATAAGTCCATTTTTTGAACAACCTGAGATTTAAATATATAAAATATGATACTAAAATTAATGATATTTTTATTTTGAGAATTTTAATAACGGAAATTTGCTGACTAGGTCGTCTTCAGTAACCTTTTGGAGGACTTTTTGGAAAACAGGATTATTTAGTTTGCAAATCGAGTTAAATAAGATACAAATTACTTTATTTTCGACTTGGACTCACACTCCAAGAATAGATCATAGACTTATCCTGCACTTTCCTCACCTTCCTTGGCTCTCAGAAACTGTCACTTTTAGGCAATAAAGATATAAACGTGACTTTATAATCGCAAAATGTATGAATTTCACTAACCGAAAATTAAAATACAAAGGGGCAGCATTTGCCTAAAACGTTCTTATCACGCACATCAAACTCTGAAGACTGATTACAGTCTACTATCGATCTCACGATGCCTGACTATTTATTATGTAGGCGTTCTCGTTTTTGCTTATAACTTGATGGAGTTGAGATGTAGAAAACTGGTGGATTATAAAAGGAAAGCGATCAAGTGAAATTGGCTACAGTTTCAATACAATGGCTAGCAGGTTAACTTGGAGTTTTCTATTCGCATTTGCTGCCCTGCAGTCATCGGTGAGATCCTTCGATTTGATATATCGGATATATCCAAGTTTTTATCTAATCACAGCTCGCAGCTCCTCCGGTGAACAGATGGCAGTTGCAATATGAAGTGACCACTGAGCTTTTTCAAGTGGTAACAAGTACTTTGGAAGAGTTAAGAAATGTCCTTCAAGTGATAATAGATGAAGCTGAACTTATTTTGCCGCCGGAATCAGAAAGTCTCATTCTCAGGGAGCTCAAGGAATTTGTTACGGTCTTGGATTCCATAGATTTTGATGATTCACTGGAGCTAGACATCCTGGAAAATGCTCTCGAGGAAATCGAAAGCATTGTGGAAATTGCAGACAGCAAAGAATTCGAATCGGAAGCCGATGAAGTTGTCATTCAGTTATTTATACAACACGGAGTCGAGGACTTGGAAAGAAAGCTGGAAAAAATTTGGATTCTACCTTGAAAATAATCGAGAAAAAGGTGGAAAATTATATGAGCACATGGTCTGATAGTCGATTGGCCAGAAATTCTGATTTAGTTAAGCAGTTTAACGACTTTAAGAACGAGAAGGATGTCTATGAGAAGTTAGATAAGTTGGCAAATTCTGATTTTATTTAAATATAAATAGTTTTATCCTAAATATATACATGAAAATGTGGAGTATTCTTGGCCATTGTACGCTTTTAAAGATCTTAGATTTCACTGCTCTAACCCTTTAACCGAATCGCTGATCTGCAGGTGAAATTAACGTTGCTAACTTAGTTACTTTCACCCTTTGGCAATGCAAATGCCAAACAGATGAGAGCTATTACACCGAATAATTACAAAATATATCATCCATCCAGCTACCGGTACTGCAACGAGTTCCAGAGTTCACCTTTTGTATTATCACGATCGCCATAGGCCAAAGACTGATTATAACTTACTGTCGATCTCACGATCAATGACTATATATTGACTATATATTATATAGGCTTGATTGTGTTTACAACGTAGTGCAGTGATGACATAAGAAATAGGGGATTACTTTTTAATATTTTTTTGCAAATGACTTAAAATTTATCTCGTTAAAGATCATCTTCATTTACTCGATTGTTTTTATATTTATTTAAATAAATAAACAACAACAAAGAACTTAAACAGCATTGATTTCATGCCCTCACTAATTTGAAATGCAAAACATATTTACGATTTACGTTAAAGTGAGTGTAGATTATGTTAATCTCAGACGACCTCTAATAGTTATACTGCGAATCGGAAATTATCAGTGGGGGAAAACCCATTTGATTCCGATTCAGATTATAACCAACGTGTTATTATTTACACACTTTTTTAAAGGCTATGTGTAATAACATGGACTAAAAGTTCCGGAAGGAAGATCCAAAACCATCTCGGGTGTCGAAAACATTTCCTTCAATCTGCGGAGGTCCTCTGCCATCTGAGCTGTAGCTATAGGATTCCGAGCGATAGAAGTTGTCCGAAGAGCTCCCAGGTCCAATAGGACCACTGTGACCACTACGTCCAAAGGGATTACTGGGACCTCCAGAAATTAATGGAATCATTGAGCCACTCGATAAAGGTACCTTCAAATATGTTAATTAGCTTATGCAGACAGTGAAAAATATACAATAGTTACCGGTCCGGAAACCCAAGTCCCCGAGTTTTGGTTTCGGAATGGTGGCTCGCGAAAAGGTACAATGTTTCTGCGACGGAAATCAGGGGAGCTTGAAAAGGGTCTATTACTGAAGCTGCTGCCTGACGGGCCTGTACTGTAATCCGATTGGAATGTGTTTCCGAAATTGGATTGCTGAAAGAGATATATTATGTATCCATGGCTCTAAAGTCTTGAAATCATACTTACAGGAATACGGAAGCCATTTGGCCTTGGAGTGTTCTGAGGATAAAATGGTTGAGGCTGGAATTGGTTGCTTTGGTCACTTTCTTCTTCATCTTCATAAGATGCATTTACTTCATCCACTTCTCCGTCAGATCTCTATAAAGATAAAAGTTAGGTTGCACTCGGTGTTAGATATAACCAGAGTTATCAATCTCACCTCGAAAAACTTAGGGCCACTATTTGAATCCCCAAAGGCGGTGCCATTTCCTCTGTTTAAAGAACCTCTATTAGAGCTGGGCTCATTGCTTGACTTCTTCTCCACGGGCTTAAACAGATGCAGAGGTATATTGGACGTGTCACGGGGTACTCTCACCTATAATGCAAGAGTGTTATATAAAAAGATAACATTAGCATTAAGATAACTTACCTTGACTTCGGGCAAAGTGTGACAAAGCTGAAAGATTCAGAGCGCATTAATGTAGAAATTCTAGAACCTAGCAATTTAAACTTACCCCCTGAGCGATGAACAGACAGCCCACTATAACCAATTGGAGCGGCAACATCTCACAGATCTCGACAGAACTCACTTGCGTCTCGAACTTCCGACGATCGACAGAACTATGAGTTGACTAGGAGGAATGCGCTGCAATTAAATGCGCTGACGAGCTCAACCCGTTCGACTGGAAAACACCAAGGTGAGAGAGTCGGGCCCGGGGTTATCAGCCTGGGGATTGCACGACAGGGAAATCAGAAACCAATAAGTCAATTTGCTCATATGCGCAAATTATAACCGCAATTATCATTTCCCCCAATAAAGGAACTTTTAGGCTTGCCTCTAAGACTTTAAGACATTATAAAATCCTTAAGAACTTTGTACATAAAAAACTCTTAATGTAATTTATCGGGATTCTCACAATAAAATTGAAAAATCGTATGTCAGTTAAAGCGTCTTAGATCCGATTGTCCTAGAACTGTTTTAAGATTACTGGATTAGAATAAATCCTATTAGAAAATCAAACCAAAAATTTATGTAAACAAATTAAAAATCCAGAAAATAGAGATTTATAAAATATTTAATAATATGTTAGGAAGTACGTTTCAAGAATGAAATAAAATTAGTTTAACAATGACTTTCATGACTTTAAGTGCTTTTCACAATGTTTAGTATAGAGTATTAGTACCGTCCATAACCGTACGGTGATCCGTATCCGCCATTTGGTCGCGGGTAGCTGGGTACAGTGATCACTGGTCTCCGGGGAACCAAATAGACCTGGGGGTATCCAAAACCTGGAGGCTTCAGAGCCACATCCTCCTCTTTATCCTCTTCGCTAGACTTGTCTTTGGGCTTATCCTCTTCGGAATCTTCTTGGTCATTATGATTGTGAGGGTAACCAAAACCAGGACTGGGACCATATCCTGGGAAGCTACGCCAATTGGGTAGCTGATGAAACACTGGTGGCTGGTAGGGGGAGTAAGGCGACCTAAAAGACGGATAGGATGGGTATCCACTCTGCTCAGGAGATTCCTTTTCTGCGTCTTTGGGAGTTTTTGGGGTCTCCGATGGAGGAGCCAGTTTGGGTCCGTCGGGGGTGAATATCACACCATGATTAAGGTATGGATTGGGAACGTACGGAAGAGGATACCGTTGAGGATAGTTGAAATGATGGGGGTCGTGACTGGGGAGGGGATGGGGATGCGGCTCGTGCTTATGGGGCTTTGGAGTCGTCGTAGTTGTGGTGGTGGTAGTCGTAGTAGTTGTGGTCTCTGGTTCCGGAGTAGTTGACTCTGGCAGGGCTGATCCATCGTTAACTTGACCTAGGCCTTCGTCCAGTTGGCCATTCTCCGGAAGAGCAGTGGCTTCCTGCTCTATCTTAGGCGTCTCCGTGGTAGTATCCGGCTTTGGAGTAGTGGTTTCCGGGGGTGGCGTCGTGGTTTCTGGCTTGGGAGTGGTTAATTTCTTTTCCGGATGATGAGGATAATGTGGCTGGTATTGGGGAGGATAATGAGGCTCCGCCAGATGCATATCATCGCCAGTCTCCTCATCGCTTAAAACTGATGCATCGATTTGTTTTTTAGCCTCCTCCAGAGACAATTGGGCGTAGCTCAGCGCCAGAAGCTAAAATTAAAATGAATTATAATTTAATCATAGCTCATAATAATCTTTTAAGTTCTGACACCCACCTGGCTGATTAGCAGGAGCTTGATGAACATCTCAATTGATTAACTGCTACTAGCAAGGGCTTAGAGAGAACTGGTTGGTGTTTGGCGATCATAGCTGACTTATATAGCTCCAGAATCGCCCACAATTATGGAAATCGTTAAGCCCACAATTACAATCAGCCGCAGATTAATACGCTCTCTATCTCTCTCGAAAAACCCGATCGGCATCAGGTGTTTGGATGCGTCTTCCCGGAATTTCCCTGACTGCGTTCGTTAATTTTTAACCTCGTCATCTGTGAATTGGTCACAAAGTTCTGCTCACTTTTGTTCTGCTCGTAAACTCAGGCAACGACTCCTCCAATCAATTTCGAACTGCTCTAATCGATTGAACCCGCACAGCGACTATAAAAGTTGGCTTTGCCCAGTCGAGGCTTCTGGTTTCGACGAAGTACATGTGTCAGGTGTGACGTTAATATGACAAGACTTAAACTAAAACTGGTGAGAGCCAAGAGGGTATTTCCTCTTTTTATATGTGTACTCATAAATGTTTCTTTGTTCTAGATCGGAGTGGTTATTTTCTTGGTGGCCACACTTGAAGCTCAGGAAAGCCCTGTGGCTGACTCACCAGCAACCACAGAAAATCCAGGGGAAACTACTCCTGGGCCAGCAGCCAGTACTACTGGAGAAACAGAAGAAACCACTCCAATCACTGGGGATGGAGCTGGGTCAGACGTTACTGGATCACCTACTGATATCTCCAGCAGTACCGATACCATGGACAATTCAACAATACCCATTGAAGGTCAGAACAATACGAGTAATTTGGAAAACGGTGGAGACCCTTTTGTGAAGCCAGGAAAACACCGAAAGGGACCACGTCATGTACGAGCCCACGATGGCTTTCACAATTTAAGAACGGAAAAGTATTGGGCTCATTGGAATGATGCCTTCACCAAATCAGGCTACTAATTAAAAACCAATAAAATATTTAATTTTTAAACTTAACTTTATGGTCATTAAAAAGAAACTGGACATTTGAAAGGGCACCCTAAATGGTATTACTCAAAAGTTAAAACATGACAAATTGAATTAGATGCCAGAATACTTTGCTACGATGCGGTTGTTTTATTGCTGTTTGGTAAAATATAATTTTAATAAAATTTATTAGTAATTCTTAAATTTTATTCTTTCTTCATTAACAGCACCTCCTTTTGTGCCTTCAGGCAGTTTTTGCAATGAAAAAAGTATATCACGTAGTGGGTCACGATGGATTCCACAATATTGAGAAAGAAAAACGATGGAGAAACTGGCCAGCACGTGTGAGATCCCATAATAGACGACACAGCAATGGCTAATGGTTAACAAGGTCGGAATAGCACGCGATTACTAAGAGCTATATACTTCTCGATTCTCGTTTAACAATGGGAAGCGGAAACCTTGTTCACCTATATCTATGGATCACTAATTAATTGATCATTTTTAATGTTCCGAATGCATAATTGATATAACATTTACTAAATAACTGAGAAGTCAGATCCCATATATAATAGCTGCCTACTGATTTTTTCTAATGAGAAAAAATGACTTTTATAAATATAAATTTCTAAGCAATTAGTTACCGTTTTCTATACTTCTATATTAACCTTATTTAAAACCAAATCTGTCACCACAAATCCATTTGTTCTAGTCATATTTGTGAACACATATTGAATTTGATTTCACCTAATACTTTGTTTTCACTCCAGAAAAAATGGTCATGGGATCAAGTCCTAATCACTTGGCATTCCTTGTTTGTCTTCTGGTTCTTTTCGTCTACGTGGACGGCCAGAAAGCCAAATCGAATCACTGGGAGAAAGATAGACAACGCCATCTCCGGCCCCACAATCTCCATAGGCCTCCATATAAAGACTTTGACTGGTACAGAAAGTAGGTATTAAATTCTCCTGAGTTCGAGGACACACATCCTTATTGCAACTTTGAATCATCTTTAGTTATAATCGAGATACGGATCCGACTCAGTTGACTCATCCAAAGAGAACAAAACCGAAATCAACTATAGACAGTTCGGGTCATTTGAAAGAAGGAAATCATACGTCAGAGTCTATAGAAAGTATAACGTAGGTGTAGCCGCTGCCCAGATTTTGAGTTGTACGATGAGAAAACTATTTTTGTTTTAGAAAACGACCATCTAGCGCCAAAAAAAAGATCAATGGGTGGACGCATGCGGGTAAACAAACAGAGGAAGTAATACAAAAGATTTTTGAGCGTAAGATTCCTAAAAAAGACAAGCTCAGAGTACTAAAGGATTTCCTGACTGTGGCCAAAGTGATTAGGGCGGTGAAAGACAAGGGATCGATGTAAGTTGTGAATCCTACTTTTGTATTTCTGGTAAATAATAAAAATTCGTATCCTTGCATAGAACCGATGCTGAAAGGGCAATGCTGACTCCGGCCCTGATACCACTGATTTACAAGTTTAGGTTTGCGTATGAAACACATTTGGACAAAAACGCCAAAGCGGCTCGTGCGTTTAAAATCGTAGAAGAAGAGGCTATAAAAATGTTACACAGGCATGAAGATAAACACTCACATACGCCAGAGTCTATAGAAAAAAGTGGGTAGGTGAAGCAACAACATCAAATTTGGATCTCCTGTAATGAGGAAACTATTTTTCTTTTAGAACACGACGGACCGGATACAAAAATGTTAAGCTACACCACTATGAACAAGCAGAGAAAATAATGCATAAGATTTTTCAGCGTTCAATTCCTAAAAAAGATATGTTAGGAGTTCTTAAGAAGATCCTCACTGTAGTTAAAGTAATTGATGCGGTGAAAGACAGGGGATTTATGTATGTTGTATCTCTTACTTTTGTACTTCTGGTAATTATATAGATTGGAATCTTTTCAGAACCGATGATGAGAGGAGAAAGCTGACTCCGAAATTGATAGCAGTGGTATTCAAGTTTAAGGATGCATATGCAAAAGATTTTGAAGAACACCCCAAGGCGGCTCGCGCATTTAAAATCGTATACGATGAGGCTGTAAAAATATCACAGAGTCAAGCAGATAAACCCGAGCCCAGTTACAAGTAAACTTAACTTAAAAGGCTATGCCTATTTCATTTATAAAAGAAAATTTACAGTTTTACTAATTGTTTCCGGAGTCTAATCTTCAGTTTCTTTCAAATAAAATTAGTACTACTGATCATTGAGTTTGATTTATTGACCTTTAAGGACTAAAGATGACTTTCAAGATTGTTTAGTTTAGGCAGCAGCCATAACTTTAATTTCGACTATCTTGCTTTCACTTAATACACATAGACGTCGGCTAACTTAATCACACACAATAGCGGAATTATTTAACGGTAGCGCACTTAGTTCTTCCACTTCTTGTTCTCGTAGTCCCACTTGGAGGTCAATCCGGTGACGGGGTTGATTTCCAGGTCGATGATACGCTTCAGCTGGGCCTTCTGGTGCTCCTCGTCGAAGGTGACGGGCAGCTCATCATAAACTAAAAATAAAATAGTCTTTAGATTGGATACAGAAACGAAATATCAACCATATACTCACCGAAGAGGTTCATCAGCACGGCCACCCAGATGGCGGCTGCGGAGAAAAGCAGGGCAATGCCCAGGTGGAGCTTCCACTCACCGGTTCCAGCCTGGACCTCGGCGATGGTTTGGCAGAAACTGGCGCGGTACAGGGCCTTGATTTCCTGCTGGCTCAGCTTCTTCCAGTCTCCCTGCTCCTTGGTGCGCAGAGCGTTAATCTCGTTGGTGGGCTCACGGAAACGCACGGCGGGCAGAGGGTAATCCACGCGATCTGCGTAGCAGGCGGTACCGTTCCAACCGTAGCCGACGATTTCACGTTTGCCAATCTTGTCCAGAGTGTGGACAGAGGCCACGCTGCCAACCTGGGCGCTCTTGGGCAGCTGAGAAGCCAGCTGGCGAAGCACAGCACTGTTTAGTAGTCTCAGGGCCATTTTCTCACAGAGTCTGCAATTAAATAAAAAAAGGACTTTGTAATGTTTTTAAAGTAGAAGACGAATGTTATTTGATATGAATTATGAACGTAAAAGGTCTTCGCGATCCATCTATTATATTTAAAGATTTCTGGCTGTAGAACGTGTTACAGGTGCCTGTTGACCGTAGACTGAGTTACTTAGTGAGGCTACATTTCTTACGGGTTCTTCAATCGGTAAATGTATATGTATAGAACCCAAAGAGTTGGAGGTTATGTAACAGCAGGAGGACTACGTGATTTGTGATAAAATCCATTTCCATAAAGATCTGATTGATTGAAACGTTTAGTGAGTCTCGGCGTCATATATTTCCGTAGATTTCGTGCTGTGTTTGGTATAATATCGGCATAATTCTCCCATTTTTCATTAGCCATCACAGCTGTTGTGTAATCGGTGGGCGGTTGCATCTCCCGGAAAACCGCTTATAAGCCGGTAGCAGTATGTTTTTCCATTATATCACCGGTCGCTCATCCCCCTTATCACTTAATATAGGCTGGTGCTCACTAACGTTTTGCAATTTCTGTAATTTAAACAATTTATTCCGAATTTGTTACCTACTTTTTTGACTCGCTGAACGATGTGACCGTGTGCAGAATCAAGACTAATAACACCAGCACTGCCAGGTTGAATTCGATGCAAGGCGTTGCCAGACTGTCGATGGTTGAGGTCCCAGCTAAAGGTCTACCGGCGATTTTATTGAATGGTTGCTGTCTTTACTATTAGGAAAATATCGCAGCTTATCATAGCACATCAATCAGATGAATGCACTTCCACATATCGATAGATGTTAGCTCGGAATTTGGCGGCAAATTTAAATTGCACTTGATATGTGTATATATTTTTCTGTGTCAAAGCATTTCCTTGGCCAGATTTAAAGAAAAAAAAACAATTCATGTTTGATATCATATTTTATTTTGATTTGATGTCATATCTCATAAATGCACACATTTAAATTAGACAGAGACACATAATTTGCTTTAATCGTATTATATAGTTTTACTGCTTGTATTGGTAGTATATGGGGTTTATCTTTCGATAGGGTTCTGGTGATTTTTCGGTAATTTTGCTATTTTATCAAGGATGGGGGGACATTACGTATTCACTTTCGCGTATTCCTGTGTTTAAGCGCGGCTTGGCATAATAAATATTTAAATGGTATTTCGCTTCATTGGGTTTTATAAATATGCAATATGTTTGTAACAATATTTAATGATAATTACGCAAATAATTAAACTAAAGTGAAAGCTTTTTCCTTCAACTATACATCTTGTAAATTGGTAGTAGCAAAAAACTTATAGCTACATTTACAATACAGTTAGATATTAGTTAGCAATTTAATTTATATGATCTGCCGGTTTCTGGGCTAGGATATAGGGTATAAAAAGTCTAAACCGCCGGACAGATGCACACTTAAGCATAGGGGATTTAGTTTGTTCTATATATACAAAAATGAATTCACTGAATGAATTTTACTTTCTTTAACATTTCATGTTAGTTTAGGTTTCATCTCTCAAGTTTTGGGTTTTCGGAAACGCAGCCGTGGGCCTAGATTTTAGGATAGGTAGTGGATATCAAGTTTTTTTGGGGGGTTCTTGGACAATTTGCATTTTTAACAAGTGCGCTAAAAAGTGCAATTTACTCTAGATGGCAGGGGGTGGTTATAGTTGGGATGATGGTGATGTGGTGCAAATGGAAAACTCTTGGAACTGCTTTAGAACCTGGCTGCGAAAGTAGTGCAAGTAGTCTCATTTGTGCGGGGAAAAGTAATCCTGGTTAGTTAGGTGCAGTAGGCCCTCGACCAGCGTGTTCTTCTTAGTTAGTCCATCTAAATTTGGCATGTACGAAGTGGTTGGTTTCTATAGCTGTTCACTCGGCACCGGCTGAACTGTCGGGTGTGACATTCGAGTCTAGGCTGGCGCAATCGGATTCCTGATCCTGAGCCTCCGAGTAGTTTGCTGCCTCCTGTAGGCGCATCAGCATGTTGAGCTGTTAATTAAGAGTTCTGATTAGTTAAAATACCTGAGAAAGAGTTTATTTTCCATATCTTACCAATGGATCCTGCTGCTCCCCGTTGGTCAAAGCAACGCCTTCGAGTCCCACATCCTCGGCATTGATTTGTCTTAATGGGGGCACTGAATCCGGACCGTATGGCCAGGGATAAGAGTTCCTGATGAAGGCGGATGGATCGTTCCAGGCGCCACCTCGTCGTCCATAGAGCTGCACTCCTTCACGAACCGCCTCAACCAGATATGGCGACAGGTGGTAGTTCCAGATATCGGTGAACCATACTTGTGAGTCCTTTAGATCCAGCGGACAAGCAAGGAACAGCCTTGGACCGATGGTTACATCACTGGAGCTGTGCACCTCCAGAAATCTATTGATGTGCTGCCACACAGAGGGCAACCAGGCCAGAACTGCTGCCAATTCAGGCTGAGGATGCTGAGTCTGCAGTTCCAGCTGGAAGAGCCGACGTCTCAGGAAGCGGCCCAAGAAGCCCTTCACCGGTTCCATGTGATTGGCTGTAAGGACCTGTAATAGTAGGATTTTAAGATTAGTTTTGATTTCATTGTAGAGGCTAGTATGGTAGTTACCCAGCGGAAATTATGGTGCAGCTGCAGGTTAGTGGTGTTGCAAGTGGCCTGCGACATGGTGCCAATGATGCAGGGCAGCTTGTTGGCCGGTCCGGCGCTCAAGAGACAGGAGAAGACATCTCCCAAGGCGGAGGCATGATGCAGGTTGTCCAAAATAATCACAGAGGGAAGCTCGGAGGCTCCATTGGCAATGGCAGCCTGTTCGGCGATGTGCCCAAGATACTGACGCAGATCCTTCGAGGATTTGTGGTCAACACTAAAAAGGGAGGGTTATGAATTAATAATCTGAGTAAGAAAGCAGACTTTTTTGAACTTACTTGAATGTGGCAATGGCCTCTGAGGGATTTCCTTTTGCCGCGCGGGCTACTAGGAACTCGGCCAGTCGGCGAGCCAGATAGGACTTTCCAGTTCCACTGGGTCCGCACAGGATCAGACGACGGTGCTCCGTGAGCAAGCTGATGTAGCGGTGAACGATGCTGCGCGGGATGAGGCTGTCAAATGCTAGACTTCCCACTCCTTGCAGGCAAATATAAAGAGTTCTCACACTGCCCACGATATAACCGCACGGCAGTAGTTCCGGGAATCCCATCTCTGGACCTCTCTTAGCCTCTCCCAGATGATATGAGGTGATAGAGTCGGTATTGAGACCCAGATTAGTACCAGGATCTATGCGGGCCACATAGTCCTTGAAGGTTTTGCGCACCACGTAGTCCAGGTTCTGCCAAGTCGTCTTGCCCGAGATGTAAGTGCAGGCTATGACGAACTCATTGCAACTTGCACTGGCATAGTTGGACTTCCTCTCGTTTTGAGATTGCGCATCCGCCTCATGGCCATTTGCATAGAAGCCATCGAGTTCCTGCAACTCTTCGCAGTACTTCGAAAACGCCTCCGGTTGTCCCAGATAACAGGCAATGGCTATCTTTTTGCCATCGCACACATCGGCCAACTCCTCAGTGGCACTGGCCATGTGAACTGGACTAGCCAGCGGAACCGCTTCCAAAGCTGGAGGCGGTGGTGTCAAATCTATGTGGGTGCTGGGACTAAGAGGAGCCACATTCACGCCAATTGGAGCTGGGGGTGGTGGTGGTTCGGGAGCGGGAGCCGGTGGCAAGCAATCCTCCTCCAGTTCCAGTTCCTCACTCAGGCGGGCTGGGAGTTCCATGGGTGGGCGATTATTGCCATCGGCGAGGGAATAGCGTCTTGAGACTTCAGAGCTGCCAGCCACAGATCCATTAGGACTTATGGCCTGCCCCAAACTGGCCTCTGAACCAGCCAACGATCTAGTGGTGACCAGTTTCTGAAGACGCTCATTGTTGTGCTTCAGGGACATCATTTCCGCCCGCATCTTGTTCATCATCTCCTTGAGGCTCTCCAGTTGGGAGGCCGAGCTCAAAGCTTCCAGGCGAATGTCAGTCAGAACGAGATCCTTCTCTCGCAACTGCTTCTTCAGATCCTCCACAACCTGCTGATCCTCCTGCTCGATTGCATCGATGGGTTTGGCATTGTCTATGAGGGTGAGGGTTTTGGCTGGGCTGCTCTGCTTACTGTTAGGCAAAGGAGGTGCAGGTTGGGTGGCCAAGGAAGCCAGGCCCAAGGGTTCACCATGACCGTTGGGGAGTGGAATTTTTCCCGAAGCCATCTCTTGTTGAGAGTGGTTGTGATGATGATAATGACCTACATGACGATTCGTCTTGGAGATCTTGGCATTGCGGGAAAATGCCTTTGTAAAGCTGCTCCTTAGCCAGCCCTTCTTTTTGTTGGCCTTGTTCTTATCCTGGGCAGCCGAGCAACCTGAACTGATGGAGTTCAAGGAGCACATGGAGTCAGTGCTATGTTGACGTTGCATTCCCAGGGTCATAGTGCCATTGTTGGCATTAATGGTGCGTTGGGCCCCCGAAGCCGGTGGCTTCTGATCTGATCCAGGCTGACCCTGAACCTGGCCTTGACCTTGACCCTGGGTCTGGACACCCATGCTTTGCATGTGCGCCGTGGTCAATCCCGCCTGGATAGACTGTTTCCTCAGCAACTCGATGGTCTGCCGCATGTCCGTCAGTTCGCCATCCTTTCGCTCCGCCGTCGCCGTCAGTTGCTGCAGTCGGTTGGTCATGTTGGACAGCGATTGCTCAAAGGCGGTGACCACATGGGCCTGCAAGGAAGAAGGAGAGAGAGGAGTTAGGTAAAGGTGGGTTTTGGCCAAGTCTGTACAATCCATCATCGCCCGTTTTGAGCACATCTCGTTCGTGCCTCGAATTCTGAGCCAGGGAGTTTGCTATTTGGCATGCAAGACGTTGCACCCGCCACTTGCAACTCACCTCGGATACATGACTCACGGACCATGAGCCGGGGCTCTAAGCCGGGCTTTAAGAACTTTTTGAAAACTTCTGTCCCTACGCTGGAGTACGTGCACTTAGAGAATGCAGCTATTTGTTGCTTCTTCGTGGAAACAATACTTTTTGAAAGTTCAAAAGGTGTTTTCAGCCTTTTTTTGAATGACACCCATCTAATGCTTTTACTTTTTGGTGAAAAATAATAATTAAAAATTGATTAAAAGAGTTTTAAAAGCCAAATTTTCTTCCAAATCCCTGTCTTATATTATTTCTCTGTGTGAAGCTTAGAACCTGTGTCATTTCTTTTGCTTTGTTATGTCAGCACTTTGCCATCGTTGCTTATTTTTTTATGAGCCAACGTGACCGGGCACAAATAGAGAGAGGAGTCGGAGTAAATGCTATATTACCCATAGATATATACTCGTTTATATATATATTTCTGCATCAAGTTGATGAGTGTCATTAGAGAAATTAAGAGAAGTGGTGACTCAGGGCGGATGTTGTAATTGCCAAGGAAGTAATGAAGAAACCGCTCAATCTCTTCCATTCTGCTCGTAAAATGCCTCACCAAGTAATTTACCATTTTTATTATTATTAAATTGGGCGACATGCCGGGCATTTCAAGTGCACCAGACTAATTAAATTATGAATTTGCAAACGTGATCACAACAAGTGTTAAGGCCACCCCCACACACACACACATACAGACATAACAACCAACGCGATTTGCATTTAAAAACCACGTAGTAACCCTTTCAACTTTCTCCGTATCTGCATATTTGGAGAAGGGCTCGGAAATCTGCTTCGTTTGGCTGCCAACTCACGTAAGCGGCAAACATAAAAATTGATTACGGTGCGTATGAGTAACGTGACAAACAGGACACGGCGGCACCTGCAGGATAACTTCTCTGCCACTTCCCCCAAACAATTAAAACGTATTAACGTGCTATTTTCCTTTGAGTGGATAATAAAGTGGAAAGCACTTTCAAGTGATTTTATTTCAGAGCAGGCATGAAGTCAGCTTCTCGCCCATTAAAAATGTTTGCCTCACGCCGACCTTGAACTGAGAAAACCTTTGCCAGAGCGAGTGCTCATCATTTAGTGATGACGGATTTCCATCTAGAAAACTAAAATATACATCTATAGAGCGTGCCATTGCAATTTGCATAAATGAGTGGCTAATTGAATAGCGAAACGTGCTAGATGGCTATCGATAAACAAGTGGAAAACCGAGGCAGTGCCAGAAATACAGATTTGCGGCAATTCTAGCAATTATAATTAGTATAATGTGTATGTGTGTGTCTCCCTATTTGTTTTTAATTTTACAAATGGGTGTGCGATTCGCCGGTAGCTAATAACTTCGATGAGGTCATGCCTATGTCCAGTGAACTAACTAACCGCATGCCAATGCTAATTGGCAATGGTTTTATGGCATTAAGCAAGCTTCTATTTTCCGGAGCTGTATTACCGGCCATAAGTATTTAATTAAATTTTTAATAATACAGTCTGTAGCTTTCGGTAGCAGCCGTAAATGGTGAGAATTTGCCAGGCAAATTGACTTTAAATATAAGGCGGTTCGAGATTAAAGAGTAGAGTTATTAAGCCACCCACAAGAGATGAAATTACTTCACTTTAAAGTAGTTCGTTTTGCATTTTGAGTTTCCTAATAGAAGTTCATTGAAAAGGCTTCATGAAAAGGTTTTCACAGTCAAGTATGCTTCGCATCCTTTGATTACTTAGCAAAAAACATCACTTATCAATGTACATTTGGGGAGGTCCCTCAATAATTCGTTCGATTCTTACACATTTAAGACCCAACTTGATGTTAGCAAAAGAAAAATCGACAAAGGAAAGAATCGCTTTGAAAGGAAACTCCCGCTTCAAACTCTAAAAGTCAAACATTAAAAGCAGCAAACGAGAATGGCAAATTGAGAAGGGAAATAGAGGGAGCAAAAAAGCAGCATAAACGACATCGAAATTAAAAATGAAGGGAAAGCAGCGAAATGGCTGTTTTTTTCGTTAAACCCCCACACAATGCCTCTCAAACTACCAGAGATGGGGGACTAGATGTTGCTGCTGTAGTTGATGTTGCTCATGTTGCTGATGTTGCTGTTGCTGCTGCTGCTGTTGCTGCTGCTCTTGTTGCTGCAGTTCATTTGCACGTTGGAGGCAACGAAGCGTAGAACGGTTATGCATCAGCTGCGAGCGACACGCAGTCAGAAAAAAAAAAAAGATAGAAGGGGATAAAAAGGCAAGGGGCCATATGCTAAATGGCTAAGGCAACAACAGAACCCACTGCAAAATTGCCAACTTTAATTTGACTGTCAATGTTGCAGGAGGCAGGAGAAGGGGGCAGAGTTGCCGGTTGCCGGTTGCCAGTGATGCATTGCTGGATTTATCGCTGTCAATTTGCAGACACAAAACAAAGTTCAAGTTCAATGGTGGCCAGAAAGTGTTCTCCCAACCGAAACTTACTTAAAAGCCAGCGTTTAAGCAGTGGAATTGCTGGTCGCCGATAGGCAACTGATAGTGTTTACCACTTGATAAGGCCGCTGGCCTTCGATTAACTGTGTTTTTTTGATAGTGGGTGATATAAGTAGGTCGCTGTGTGTTCGTGTCCATTGTAAAATTCAATAAATTCAGCCAGCCACCGAAATTGCTGCTGCTGTGTGTGTGTTTGTCTGCATAAATCATGCTGCAACAGCAACGACAACAGCAACGACTGACTGTTGCTGCCCACTTGACAATTGACAATTGTTGCAGACATCGGGCGACCATGTGTTTCGGTCCCTTGTAGCGAGAGTTGCGATGTGTGTTTTTTGGTAGTGTCGGCAACATGCCGTAGGCGTGTGCACTTTGACCTTTCCAATGATTTATGCCCCGCACAAACAACACCAACATGCAACTGCAACACTTGACATTTGTTGGACTTACACAAAAGAACCAAACTGTGGCAGTTGTCACAGGCTTTCCTGATTTATTATTCAGCTACCGTGGAGGCGGGGGCGTGGTCGTATCTGCATCTAATTTGCATTGGAATATTTGATGATTGATGAAGGCCCCATACCCAGCATCCGATTTCAGTGAAAGTTTTCCCAAGGACGGGCGGATGCCTGGCCAGTAATGACTAATTGAAGAAGGCCTCCCAAGGTCAGGTGTCAGTTAGAGCTCGGAAGTTATTTTTTGGCCAGGTCTGATGGCTTTAACCTTGCTGAATTATGAATCCTCCTCAGCTGATTGAATTTTCCGATTGGGGAAAATTAATGAAGATGGAAGCTGAAGACTCTAACCTATGTGACTTTGCCATGATTGAAAAAGCCCCCTCGTGTTTGATTGCTGATTAAGATTACACCGAGTTGACTTGCACTATCAAAGGAGAGTTAGCCTCTTCAACTAGATAAGATAGCGTGTGCTAAATAGAAACTATTTTTAACTGTGCTTGTCTCTTGTTTAGCATTTAAGGCTGTTAAGAAAGAACTGATACTTTTTCAGGGAATTAAGTGGTATTCGGTGTTCCCTATTCAAGAACGATATCCTGTTTTGGGATTCCTTTCCACCATTTCCCATTCGATTCTTGTTTTCTGCCGAAAATTATTTCATCTTCGACCCAATCGAATTCCGAGGCCTGCCACATAATAAACTGATTAACAAACTAATCCGTTCTGATTGTTTGTGGCGCACACAAAGTCCCAAGTCGCAAGTCGCAAATCGAAGTGGCTGAATAAAGCGGAACACCAAGGAATCAGAGACATGACCATTGGGATCCTGAAGCCGCAAGCGGAGAAAAAATAGCAAATCATCATTAAAAATCTTGGACAGCTGTGGGGAGATCGGTGGAGATGTGGTGGCGACGAACCCACAACGAAGTTGTATCCACACTCACAGGCCAGTCGAGTCTACTTTGATCCGCCGCCGCAGACTCCGCTGCAACTTCGATTTAATTTTTTATTTTCAAGAATGGAAGACTCTGTCCCAGTGGCTGGTGAAAGATCAAGATTGCTTGGCTCCATTATTTGTACAATTGCCGAATCCCCCGCCTTTCTCAAAAGCCGTGCCAAAAAAAAAGAAATATAAAGCTAGCCAGATAAATATGCCATTTGGCTAATGGTATCCACCACTAACTTACGCCAACCCCCTCGTAGTTTTCGGTTTTTTCCGCATGTGAACTTACCTGCAAAGAGAGAAAAAGAGATTGCCAAATGAGTTGATTGCAAAAAGCTTTGGAGAGATTAAAATGGTACAGGAGATATTTTAAAAGATTCATCGGAGATTAAAAAACAGCTCTCAAGACTTAAGTATTTTATTGTTTATGAATTTTCCCATTAACAAGTTTCTGAGATTTCCAAATAAATCAGAGTACTTCTCTTCCTAATTTGTGTTATTATTGTTGCTTTTTAAGAACTCTCCCAACCCTTTTATGATGTCTCACCAATCAAAAGATAATAATTTTATGGCTTGTTTATTGACTGAAATCGGATCAGCCCAAACGACCATTTCGTAATCGTTTCGTTTGAATTTATTCTGGCCATTGTCATTTAATTCCTTTATCAAATCACAACAATGACTGGGCTTTGGCTGTCCATGATCATGACGATCAATGGCCATTCAAGGGCTCTCCGTCCCCCGTTTTTGTATTTCGGTTTTCGTATTTTATTGATTTTGTCCAAGACCGGAAGCCACAAGAGGCACGTCCAACAAGAGACAATGAAGATGCAACGATGACGATGATAACAATATAATATTTGTGTGGAGCATTCAAATCAACATCGCAGCTAAAAGTTTTTAGCTTGTTTACATTTCCCTTCTTTGTGGCTTATCA